GATCACCACTAATCTTGTAGTACATGTACCACTATCCGACCATCACTAATCTTGTAGTACATGTACCACTATCCGATCACCACTAATCTTGTAGTACATGTACCGCTATCCGATCACCACTAATCTTGTCGTACATGTACCACTATCCGACCACCACTAATCTTGTCGTACATGTAACACTTTCCGACCACCACTAATCTTGTCGTACATGTACCACTATCCGATCACCACTAATCTTGTAGTACATGTACCGCTATCCCACCACTAATCATGTCGTACATGTACCACTATCCGACCACCACTAATCTTGTCGTACATGTAACACTATCCGACCACTAATCTTGTCGTAAAATCACTTTTTTACCCGACACTATTTAACTTATTTTTGTGAGTTATGAGTAGTTTTTCGATGGTGTCAAAGATCATTGAATTCTGTTTTATCAAAATTTAATAACATCAAAGAAACAGCAAATTTGGCGGAGTTTATTAATGATGTAAACCAGAAATTTGAGATAAGTATTTCTTATTATTTCCCAACCTTTATACACATGTATATGCAATAGTAATATGTTGTAAATATTGCACTTGCTTCTTTTATTTTTAAACTAAGGTATTTAGGTCATCAATAATGTGAACAAAAGTTGTTGAATTAACAACGTGTTTCAATGTTATTACAGAATGATATTTACCTCGAAATTTCCAAGGAGTTATCACGGGACTCGGGGAACTACCAGCCCGTGTATCGCTCAGATGTCTACCCCAAGTCGAACAAACCCAGGTACGGTTATGTAATACGGATATACATAGATTTGCTCATCATTACTTAAAATTACACATTATACATGGATCTGTAGATGAAGTCAACAATCCCACAGTTAACAAATACAAATGTTTGTGTGTAGCACGGAGACATATTCCACGTGCCTTAACTGTTATGAATAGCCATATGTAATCGAATGCACCTTTTTTCTGACTAAAAAGGGAAAATGTGTTAGATAGCTGATACGCTGAACATTTAGAATATATAATATATAATATTGGGGAGCCAGAGTGGTCTGTTGACAAATAATCCATGGTTGTTGACCAACGAAAAAAGTCACTACCTTGTCGAATGCAAGATAGCATAGCTGTGTGGTGGTTCATTACGCATGTACATTGTCTCCACGCACAGTCACCTTATTGTAAATAATTTAGTTTATCGTTTGGAAGGAGAACAAATTACTTACATATCCATGTTCCTTCCATTTTCTCTTGACAGGTGGCGACCATTTTCTTTCAATCTTCAGAAGCTGTGCAATAATGACTGGACAAGGAATCTCAAAATTTCCTGTTATAGGTAGGGACGTGACTAATCTTGTATTAATACTTGCCTGTCTTTTGAAAGTTAGTTCGCATGGACAATTCGGAAACCGGCCTGTCTATTTAAACAAATATAACGTCAGGACTTACTAAAATTATAATTAATGACATTATCATAATTGTCTAATCTAGAACAATGAACATTCATTTCTTTCATTTGAAGTTATCATCCGCAAAAATAAACACACATCCTAAATAATGACAAGGAATCTAATATAAAATGTGTCTTTGATACAACGTTGGTTTGATGCCATGTTTCGTATTATACACTGTATCTTCAGACTCTTTTCAAAACAGCTAAATTATAAAGTTAACATAAAATGATAGCAACTGATTGTTCTGTTTTATTCTTTTTCAAAAAGTCAGTGTATCATTTATGCATTATGTGATATCATCCTATTTTAGACAGATATGTATATATATACGGAGGGCTAGATAAGCAAAAACGGTATGCCGGGTGGCGGATTCCGGAAAGTTTTCATGTGGCGATAATAATTGTGCGTAGGCGGTTGTGCATATCCGGATAGGTCTAAGAACGATGAATGTAAGATTTGGTCAACAGTAAAACTAAGTGAATGGATTATTGACTACATTAAGCGATGTGTATCGGTATCAACATAGAAAACGTGTTTAGTTACTTATTATTACAAATTATGCTTGCTCGGTTCCCCTGTTGGTGTCTGTTTATCCGCTCTACTTATCCAGCCTTTATTTTTAACACTAATACTCAGTGTAACACAATAGTTATAATACCTATACTTGTTTTCATTCCATCATTTTTACACTAAAGTTATGTCTTAATTAATTTCTTATCATTTTAGAGATAGAAAAATTATGTTTATCCGAATACATTTTTTATACAGTATAATAATTACCGCCATGTGCTGATTTTATTATATATATGATATAACATTCATTGCTGCATAGAAATCTGTTTCAATGTCTTATATCGCTGTGACACAGGAGGAAAAATCATCTCCCACAAACAGTGGCAGGTCCGAGAGGGTAGGTCGAGGATAAGTGTGTGGGTCCTTACTAACGGTTAATGTTTCCTTCTGTTTCTTCCTTCCTGCAGCGTTACTGCATCAGTATCTCTCCTAGTGCACCTACCATTTACCCTTATGACCCTAATGTTGATGGACCGTTAAGGCAGTGACGTATACAAATGCGTAGTATATAAGGTCTCTGGTAAAAACTGTGGCCCTTTATGACTTAATGTATTGTTGGACCATTAAGTCTATCACGTGACTCTCCATGAACTTAATGAGTTGATAGACACTTAAAACAGAGATGTATAAACGGTCTCTTGTGTAGACTACCGTGTGACACTATATGACTGTTGTGTATTGATGGACCGCTAAGACTACCGCGTGACTTTGTTTACATTTTTTTGGGGGGATGTTAAACTTCAGTGTCGCCTTGTATGAAATTATCGTATTGATGAACCATTAATAATACCGTGTGACTCTGCATGACGTTATAGTCTTGATGAACCGTTAAGACTATCGTGTGACCTCGAATAGCGTTATTGTTTTGATGAACCGTTAAGACTATCGTGTGACCCTGTATGGCGTTATTGTTTTGATGAGCCGTTAAGACTACCGTGTGACCTTGTATAGCGTTATTGTTTTGATGAACCGTTAAGACTATCGTGTGACCCTGTATGGCGTTATTGTTTTGATGAGCCGTTAAGACTACCGTGTGACCTTGTATAGCGTTATTGTTTTGATGAACCGTTTAGACTATTGTGTGACCCTGTATGACGTTATTGCGTTGATGAACCGTTAAGACTACCGTGTGACCTTGTATAGCGTTATTTTGTTTTGATGACCCGTTAAGACTATCCGTTAAGACTACCGTGTGGTCCTGTATAGCGTTATTGTTTTGATGAACCGTTAAGACTATCCGTTAAGACTTCCGTGTGGTCCTGTATAGCGTTATTGTTTTGATGAACCGTTAAGACTATCCGTTAAGACTTCCGTGTGGTCCTGTATAGCGTTATTGTTTTGATGAACCGTTAAGACTATCGTGTGACCCTGTATGGCGTTATTGTTTTGATGAGCCGTTAAGACTACCGTGTGACCTTGTAAAGCGTTATTGTTTTGATGAGCCGTTTAGACTATCGTGTGACCCTGTATGGCGTTATTGTTTTGATGAACCGTTAAGACTACCGTGTGACCTTGTAAAGCGTTATTGTTTTGATGAACCGTTAAGACTATCGTGTGACCCTGTATGGCGTTATTGTTTTGATGA